ACTCTGCCCACCTCCACCCTCTTTTTTTTTTTTTTTGAGGCACTCCTTGTGGGCTGTGTCAAATGTAATTTTTAATATATGCCGCGGGCCAGTGAAAAACGGATGCCGGTCCGCAAATGGCCCCCGGGCCGTAGTTTGGACTTGATGCATTACAGTAACCAACATCCTCATGACGACCCAATTATTGTTGTCAGTTCACTGCTAATGGTTGGTTAAAACAAATATGGGCTATTTTCTTGCCCTTCCATTGTTTTTATTTTTGTTTTGTTTTTTTTAATGACAAAAGTAATGATATTGTGTGCAATTTAGAAATGCACAAGATACAAATCCATGTATTCTATCAATTATTTGCCAAATAATTACTCCAGCTCCTGGCATGAAGCAAGTACTGGGCAAACCTGGACCCTGTGGCCGGTACGAAAACTATCAGAGATCAGATGGCTTTCCAGTAGGTAAGCAACAGAAAACAAATGCTGAAAGTGGTTGTCGATTTGCATTTTCGAAAAGGTGTCCAGTATTTTGTGAATGACAAAATCGCACACAATATGAACAACTTGAGATGTGCAGATAACAGCTGGCACACATGATTGACTTTGGAGTTTGCCCAGTTCATCGCCAAAATCTCACATTTGTCTTTGCTTCAAAGAGGCTGAGGTTCGCGCTCTGGCCAAAGAACGACAGAAAAAGGACAATCACAACTTGAGTGAGTCTTTTCACATATTCTTGTGCAGTGATGACGTCGGTGATGTGGAGCAAAATGAAAATGCGTGCTCCAAAAGTTCTGTTGACTGACACATTTCGTTTGTATCCCGTTTGTAGTCGAGCGAAGGCGCCGATTCAATATCAACGATCGTATCAAAGAACTTGGAACCCTAATACCAAAGTCAAATGATCCGTAAGTATGACTTGACAGCGTTCCAGACACACACGTGTTCCTTTTTTTCTTCACGTTTGAGTCGGTTATCGACATGATTTCAATCACGGTCCTCCTCGCGTAGCCAAGTGCCCTTATAGTGGAACGCTTTATTTGCTCAGAATGGCCATGAAGAATCCTCTCTTGTTCCGGTCAGCCGGCTCAGCTGACTCTGACTTTGGACCTTTTGTCTCCGATTGCAGGGACATGCGCTGGAATAAGGGCACCATTCTGAAAGCTTCAGTGGACTATATCAGGAAACTCCAAAGGGAGCAGCAGAGGACCAAAGAGCTTGAGTGCAGACAGCGCAAGCTGGAGCATACGAATCGTCACCTGATGCTTCGTATCCAGGTGGGTTGGTTGCCACGTGCAACTTGCTGCGAAAAACTATTTGCCCTCCTCTCAAACTCGCTTCTTTGCCCACTTGAACGTTTCACAATGTCAAACAAATGCCAATTCAAATCAATATAAAATGAAAGTTTTAAATGGAGAAAATTCGTTTATGAAGAGGGGAAAAAAACCTAATCAAAGCTGGAATTGTGTGAAAAAGTACAAAGCACCCGCCCCCACTTTATCCTAAT